TGTTAACAAAAAATGGGTACCCGGTTCTAAAAATACCCGCAAATGCACACCCCTACTTAAATATGCTTCTAAGTTCTAGTTCTAACTTCTAGCCCATTATTATTCCTGTCTTAATATTATGGTCTTATTAGTTGTTCTAACTATGCTCAGAAAAAGTAATGACCTTTTACCCCACCAAAAATTCTAAAAAAAAACCGATTTTATTCTTCCAATATTTTTATTGCTCCACATCGCTCCAAAATTTGACCAACACAAGTTAACAAAGGAAATCACCACAAACACATTCCCCGATTTTCGGCAGTTGGAATGCCTCGGAAAGGCCACTTAATTTCATAAATATGGATTCATATTCTTCATAATTCCCCGATCATCCCAACAACGAAATTGTGACAAAACTTACCGATGGAAAGTTGGATTTTGACGATCAAAACATCAATCGTTTCAGAATTTTTCGGAGAATCACATAAAATACACTGCGCACGCTATATGGTGTGAAAAATGCTTCTGCGCATGCGTTTTAGTGATCGATCACGTGCATTTGTTTGTGCATAGTTTGTGAACTCCAATGATTTTGAAGCACAAACGTCTTCTGTGTGACTGTGAAGCGGCAAGACACACTGTGAGCAAAGGACCTTATCAGGGTCGTAAATCTGTCTCGCGCCCTAGGAGGTCTCCATGCCTTTTGCGCTGGTAGGCCAGCTTGCTAATTGGTTGCAAATTACCTCTGCGGGGGTTAAGCGGCCTGTTCGAACTCCTTGTGTTCCTTCCTCCATGCTAGCACGGGGATGCTAAAACAACAATGGCGACGAACAGGAAATTGGCTTATAAAGACTAGTATGACAATAATCCCAACCATGCCATATGTCAACACAATTTCAGTGTGCTTATTCTGTTTATTGCTTGCCCATGAATGCCCCTTTTCTCATGCCGTGTTTCTTTCATGGGCATGCCCAAACTTTGTCGTGCACACAGTTGTCGTCAGTTGGACTCGAGTAGTGAAGTTGGGGCGAGCGTGGGGCCGAGCCTGCAAAATGAGTACAATGTATGTATGCCCAGCGCAGTTGGCCTGTCATGTCACTGTCACTCCTACCTACATGTAGCTCAGTGTTACTCACCGCGGGCATGGACTTCAAGAATGTAACGAAACCTTGTTCCTGAGTACTGTCTGCAAGAAAGCAATGACAGTAAAACAGATTAAGACTACAAACCAAATACTCCTTATTGATATTAAATTATAAAAGAACCCTTTTACACTAAGACTGAAAATAACATGATTATTTACCCATCGAAAGTTGTTGGTGAGACTGCAGCGCCATCTTGAATGATAATAACCTCGCCGAGCGTTTTGATGAACATTGCTTTGATTGGCCTAATCTTCCCAAGGGTAGACTTCTTATCCAATCAAGGAGTATGTATCACTCCAAGCTGTATGGCGCGAAAAAGTTCCCGCGTTTGTCAACCTTTTATCCAGGGATTATCTTCGGGGAAGCCTCATTAGCATGTGCGTCCGCGGGATTGGTGCGTTTGATATTCGTCAGAAGGCTTTGTATCATCATACCGTAACACATGTTGCATCAAAATAAGGGAAAAGTAATGGTTTGGAAGTCGGAAATACATCAACAATTCGCTTGGTAAAAGTTGATTTTTAGCCTATCCCTCGTACTGTGCCAGACGATCATCCGTCATTAATTTTCTCATCAAAACAAAACATGCTTTGAAATTTTTACTATTAGACAACTCACAGAATCGTTCCAGTCATACCAGAGAGGTGGCGCACATTTTACAAACCTGTCACCAAATTAAGAGGAGCATCAGAAATTTTCTAATGATGTTGACCTCAAGATTATTGGTATTGGCAAGCCACTCAAGTGCTTAACGCATAAACGCCGGCGGCGTGTGTTGCACGCGCAGGCGTCACCACGCTAATGACTAAAGAGCCACAAATAAGAGAAAGCATATATTGTTATCCATACCCAATAATAACCTAATATGAATGCAAACCTTTAAGATGAAATAATAATTTCTTCTCTGGCTTGTTAAATATAATATTAACTCTGAGTACTGTTTGGGGTGTGGCAGTTGGACTTTGTTGCGTACACATTCCAAATAACTAAACTTAAATGGGGGGGGTTGAATGAGTGAAATAATAAATGGTGCAGAAGACAGGGAAACCTATATTGGCAAAGGGGCAATTATTTGGGGAGGGTGAAATTTTCTACAGCCATGGGCAGGCTTAAGGTTTCAAATAATTAGTAAAATGCCTTATTGGGGTTACCAGGCCAGATTTCACCAGAATGGGGAACAATTGTGGAACCTTTTTCTTCTTTTTCGGGCAAAACATTAATGAACAGGTAAATGGCAAGGTCCTGATACTGTGGGGGCAGATTCAAGTAGAGCCAGTGGAACCTTTGGCCAAACAAAATACATGTACATGTACACTAAACACAACCTCGAAAAAGAAAGGCAGTGAAATTGTCTCGAAAATGACACTTTATTTTATACATTATGCCAAGCAGTTCTGTCTTTACTGCCTAGAGCTACATTCTTTTAGAATGCCCATATGATTCTTGCAACTTTTGCACAATATCGTCAGTTTAACAATTCAAAATCTTACAATTCTTTTTTATCTTACTGTGTGCGTTATCAGGGTGGTATTCTTTGAAATCATGAGGCGTGAATACAAATCAGATGGATGTTGTGAATTTAAAATAACTGAACTTTTGAGAAAATTCTTTTCTGAAGCTTCATTGTGAAGACATAAGACTAGGCAAATTAAGATGTAAAATGTGGACAGGATCCAGATCTGCCTCACCATACTGTTGCAAAATAAAGGTCTCTTCCATATAACTTTGCATTAGGAAGTATTAACCTGAAACAATTTTCTCACCAGATATAGAACGAAAATGTGAAAAGTGATGTAATGAGGAGTATTTCATTTATTCATTCTGCCAAATGAAATCAAGTGGATACACGTCGCTTTTTTACACATCACTCTTGCTGGATACAACCATGCTTCATTTTTCTAATTAACACAAATCAAACAACATTAGAAATAACACCTGAAAAGAAACAAAAGCTGGTGTTTATCTACTACACACAGCATGATGTTAACCTGATGGGTTTAGGGTTAAAACTGTATAAATTTGGGATCAATTTTATCTGGTTTTCCACACAGCATGCAATACATTTCTATGTAATGCTTTCAAGTCCTTCAAACTTATAACATCATTTTATGACATCGTGATTTTCTTTATATAGTCAATCTTATTTTGATGAGTGTGGAAGAAACAGATTCAAGAATCAGCCATTGCCTTTTGGAACCTCTCCTCAATATTAGCCCAGTTGGCAACATTGAAGATTGCTTTGACGTAGTCCGGACGAACATTCTTGTACTGTAGGTAGTAGGCGTGTTCCCAGACATCAATTCCAAACAGTGGAACCAGACCTGGAAAACATTCAAAAGACAACATGTAAAGGCCGTTCATCATTTCTGGTCTTTCCCTTATGCGGCATAATTCAATTCTATGGACTTACTCTTGCGCACTTCGAAAAGACATGACTCACAATTTATTTGACTTGTAACTTGATTTACGTTTACTTGGAGGAAAATAACTCAGATTGTGGCTTGAAAATATTTGCCATTTCCAACTTTTGCTTAACTAAAGAGAAGAAAAAATATCTGTTAATTTCTACACACAAACATACTTGTCTGTTTTACTGACACAGAAGTCTTATATTTAAGATATCATCATGGAAAAACATTAAGCAGAAGGCTACATCTATTTTTGCTAAGACATCATACATGTACATTAGGTCACATCAATAATGTATGTCAGAAAAAGTAAGTAGGGACCATGTCAATAATATGCTTGAACCAAAAAACGATTTGGGATTTCACCTGGGGAAAAAGTTACTAAAATCAACCACTGTACAGTTCACTTGTTCTTTGTCTTTATCCTAAAAAAGCAGCTGCCCCTGAACACCTTCTCTGATATCCTTGCAATGCATTTTTCTTTTCATGCCGAGCCTGTAGGAATTCACCAGTAATGTCTTCAGATCAGATCAGTTTGACATGCACGTACTGTTCTACATGTAAAGGAACTCTCATCTTTGCTATCACAGGTCAGCTAACATTCCCCATTGGTGTGCTCACCACTCATCAGAGGGCCAACCGACACGTGAGGCCGTGAACTATAGATGACGATAAAAGAAACCCTACTTTGGACTGAATTGAAACTTTGCAAAAGTGCTCATACTAAATGTCTGCCAAGTGTCAAAAGACCGGGCTTGGGACAGCCAAGATCTTGGGATGAGGGACATTCGCCATGCAGCTAGCTGCATGAAAAAGTCCAACTCTTCAGGGGTAAAAGTGCATCAACCCCCATGTTTAATAATTTTTGAAGGATCTCGGAAGGGCTAATCCTGAAACAGACTCTCATGCTCCAGGAGCAGTTTAAGACATTTTTCACAAATTGATATCAAAGTTTGCAGCAGATGCAAAGTTTGGCGGCATGCATTCAGAACTTTTGATTTTCAACAGCACCAGTCTGTGAAGCTGAGTACTTACTATGATCTAATCAGAGAGCATGCCATTCATTACCTGTGGTTGGCTCCAGCGGGTCCTGGTTGGCACATGTTGCGATGGCCAGGGTGCGGGTGGTCTTGTTGTAACCCAGCCAGCCCCAGCCCGAGCCTTGGACTCCGATGGAGGCAGCCGAGAGCTTCTGCTTCATGTTGTCAAAAGAGCCAAAGTCCCTATTGATGGCCGACAGGAGCTCCCCTGCACAGGCAAAGATTGCAAAGAAGTTTGGTTGGCTCAAGCACAGGGTGTAGATTATCTGCAATGTCCATTATAGGGCAGTGTTGCAGCAAAGTCACAAGTAATTTGTCAGCAAGTCAAGTATCAATTTTTTCAAGCAGAATCAAGTCCCAAGTCGAGTCAGGTCACAAGTTAATCTTCCCAAGTCAAGTCCTAAGCCAATTTCAAAGCCTGTCTAATGGTGCAATTTACATGGTACTTGTGCACTATTTTTGACTACTTTCACTGACAAAGTGACTTATGATACTGGTCCAACAAAGCAAGTGTGATTGTCTGCCCGATTTGTTAATTAACATTTTGGTATTTTCGATGATAAAACATGACTAAAATCATGAATAAAATCAAGTAAATTTGCTTTTGCATATGGAAAATGTAGAAGGCAGGTTTTTTCATGCATTTATTTTGACAAAAGTTGGTAATGTCAAAAGTCTACCTGTACATCAAATGTCATAATGTTTACATCTGAGAACTACATTGTACATCTTATACTGAAGTTTTTTTTTTCGCCAAGTTAAATATCACATTAACAAAATGTGACTCGAGTCCAAGTTAGTCAGCAGTTAAACTCTGTAACACTGTTCTTGGGTCACTGTATTCAGTAACCATAAATATAGGCCTACATCAAAATCTTTATTGCCCAAGTCTGTTTACAAGTAGATTCAGGCCTGCATGACTCAGCATCTTTTAAACGCTTTGCATGGGGATTGGCATTCCAAACCCCATGGGGGGTTAGAATTAATGGAGATTTTTAAAAAGCCATACGACGGCAATCAGGATCATACAAAAGTACAGCTCAAACTTCAACTCTTCAATCATGGAATGCATGCAGGTAACATTGCCACATTTCCCTAAAACTGAACAACGTACAGTAATCTATTCTCCTATTCTTAATGCAGAAAAGGGTATAAAACTCAGGTATAAAAGTAAAGTTTTTGAACCTGTGCACAAACCCTCTGACAACACTGTCAAATAGAGAGGCTAGGGGGGATAGTCAAACACTATTGGCACCATGTGCCAGATGCAAATATGCTACTAAATTGGCAAATTGACTGTACTATGGTATGTGTCATATAGCACAAAACAGCACACAAATACATGTACATGAATACAGTTCACAACATGGACTTGATAAAAAAGTTCACTTTCTTCTCCACACACTGATGAACCCACACAGTCCTGAATTCACAGAAAAAGAGCTAAATACAGGATTTGACAGATTCAAGGAAGTTAAGATTGAATGTGCAAGTCTACGGTATCTAACACTGGTTTTAGCCGCACCAATATACCTGAGGGTTCACCACCACCGTTTGGTGACATGACAGTCCAGAAAATTGAATGGTTGATGTGGCCTCCTCCATTGAATTTGACGGCTGGCTGCAGGGCAATCATCTTTCCAATATCCCCTGGAAGAACAAAATTTCTGTGAATCAAGTTGTGGCAATGGAATGACAAGGTGCGGTCGATGCAAATCAGGGAGTCCAACAGCTGTCAATTCTCAGGCGGTGGAAGTTGCTGTTGGATCCTCTTGTGGCCAGCCAGGCTTCAGGCCTGAGGCTGGCTGGCTTTGAAATAGATGCCTGCTTGGATCTTGTCGTATTCTACCCACTTCTTCCTCAAAACCTGCTGCATGTGCTTTGTGTTGAGCTTGGTTTCTGGCTGAAACATTAGGCAGAAGGCAGGGAAAGGGGGGGTCACTTCAACTTTAGTTTTTTAGGGTAATTTTTCCTGCAGACCATATTGTAGCCTTGGGGCCTATTTATATAATTATTTACATTTAAGAGCAGTATTAAACAGACAGCAATGATAGAAAGTGGTCTGTTATGTGATATGTTCATTTTAAAGGTACAAATTCGTTCTGTGTCATCATTAAGTATGTCTGCTAACAACCTTCCACAAGAACCTGAGAACAGCAGTGCCCTCCGTGACGAGTGCATGAAGTAGAAGTGAAGGTATGGTAAGCCATCATGAAAAAGTGCTTAACCATGCCTGTCAGTCCTTGCCGCCATACAGTACATAACGAGCTCACTGACAGGCCAGAACAATACCCCCATGCAAGATGAAGAATTGAAAGCAAATGAAGGAAATCTTGCACTGTGCGAGCCAGTCAATGACGCTATACATAACAAAATAATCACTGCCTAGAAACAAAGTCTCAGCGCAGTACACCGTACATGTATCTTTAAAAAATCGCTCACGTTTCAAAACATTGCAGAGTTTATCACTCTTCCAAGTTTGTTAGGTCTCAGGAAAACAGTCCCTTAGGAAACCACTGAGCTCCATATATTTATTGCAAAGAATGCCATTTCTGCTTGCTTGTGTTAAATTGGGCCTTAAGGCCCATAACCAATGAATGAATGAGGTATGGTTAGGATTAATTATATCATGCTAACAGCAATTCTGCTTTAATAGAGATACATGTGATGTCCACATAAACACATGTACATTGTACATATAATTTGGAGTTATGATTCCTACCAGCTTCCTGGGCTTCTTGCAGTTGCTTCTCAGCGAGGTTGAGATTGTTGACATAGGTGGCATGGTGCTTCTTATGATGAAGCTCCATGATGTCTGCATTGATGACAGGAGAGAGGGCTCCGTAGTCATAGGGCAGGGGAGGGAGGGTATGCTCTAGGCGAGAGTTGACGGTGGACAGGGTACCAGGACTGGCCAGGAGCCTAGCAGCAAAGAACATATAGGCAGACAAGGGTGAATGTTTCAAAGGTAAATGAGTGGTGGAATATCTGGTTAAATCTGGGGCCATCACATGTCACACATACATGTAGAAGTTAACTCAATCTCTCAACCCTTCAATGCTACATGTACATGCATTGGAAGACACAAAAAGGGAATAGAGGCTAATTTGGTTTCTGAATTAAGGTCAGATTGATTTGGCTTCTGTCATTAGTCCTGTCTGGTACGGGTTGGGTCCAGTTTAGTTTTGGATTGACAATTTAGGGGTTGTATTGGCTTGATTACTGCATGAAATGAAAAACCCAAAATACATGTACCACATGTAGTATAAAAAATAAATTAATAGTTAAAATATTTTAAAAGTCGGGTACGTGGTTGTAAAATTGCAGAGTCACTGGCAGTGCAACAAATGCACTCTCCATGAAATGGATTTCCATCAGTCTGCTTTCTAAAGTTTTTGTTCTCTTTTTGCTTTGTGCATGTTGTGCTTGTTGTGTTGTTTGTTTTGTTTATTGGCTCAGTTTGAGCCACTCAGTTCAGGTTGAGGCAAGAATTTCCTGCTGGGGTACTGGATCATCACAATTTTTGACTGTCTATCAACTGGGTCATATGTAAGAAGAAGCTTGATCTCAGCCAGATATGAAAGTTATCAGGATCTGAACAGTGGAAAATGAGGGAAGTTACACATGTCTATATCCTTACATGTATCTTTACCATGTTTACAAGTTCTCCATCAGAGTTACAATAAAGTGACCTTAGTCTATACATGTACACGTATGTATACGTATGTATACTGTAAATCACCACAAAACATGAACTAATGGCAAAAATCCACACAATCTCAATGAAACTTCACCAGGTTGAGATATTTAACCATCTAAAACTGTCCAGTCTTTTACAGACGAGTGTGGGTGCCGTTGCTGCCATGTGAATCAGGAAAGACGCTGGTCAGTTCAATCTTTTCGTGTTCGAATTTTGAACCCGAAATTTGCTATTTGAAAAATTTTTCACAAAAGGTGCTTGCTGGTTTATTGTGTACATGTTCACAACAGAAATGAACATTTATGACAGTAACACAGACAAACGTCCAAAAGTTTCAATGCAATGGTAAGGTTGAGTGCTTGGGGTGGCATCACGGTTTTGTAAAGTCTGCAAAATTGTATTACCATACACCTGTATAAACCAAAGAGGCTCCAAAAATACATGCAGCAAACCAAAAATTGGAAATGGTTCAGAAACACAAACACACAGTTCCAAGGTTTGCAGTACTTACATGTACATGTACAGGTAGAATAATTGTCCACTGCATGGTTCTTTTGATTGACATAGGAGGCTGCAGATTTGTAGTTTTAAGAAGCGAACCGGAAATAAAATGCTACCAATCTCAACATTCCACCATGAATTGTTAACCAGCAATGAAACTTTTCAAATGTTCATTTTGAATTGGTGAGAAAGTCAACTACATGTAGATTTATATTAACGGTTAACAGGAACAAAGAAAATTATAATGCAATTCTGTGATGGCCATATTTTCTTACAGTGGCTCCAAACTTGTTTCATGATTGTGCAGTTGCATGGCGAAAGAAAACTCCAGATACATAGTAAAAAGCAAGTGCCAGGGCAAGTGTAAAAACTTGGCTCACTTTGACTCCATAATATGATTTCTTAGTCATGTGTTCATCACCTACATGTAATTTGCCGTTTTGGCTACACTGCCTTCACTACATGCTGGTGGGGTGACATTAATGTGAGACGAGTCGACATCGTGCATGTGCACGCATGGTCAGGCTGTTCAATGTGGCCAGCCGTCGTTGCATGCAATTCGGAATCTTCACAGTGCAGTCCACCATGATGATAGAGTGATGTCATGTTTTCATTTAATTCAAAGTTTATAAATTAATGTCAGTTGTAACTTGTCCAAAAAAAAAAGAATTTTTATAAGGACGGCAAACGAGACCAGAAATATTTCCAAAGAAATCTAGACAAGTTTTATAAAGAACACCGCACCCCGAAAAGTTACATGTATTTAACAAAGCCATCATTCCCCTACAAAATGACTACATGTAAGTCCAATGACATTTTTTCCAGAGCCATAAGAATAAATTGAAGTCCCCCCAAAAAAAACCCCAGAATTTAGAGTTTAGTAAAGTCCCCCCCCACATAAAAGGAACATAATTAACCCTGCTTTAGTTTTACAGCACAAATATGCACAAGTGCCCACAGTCACTCTCTTGCATGTGTTTTCTATATGGAACACAAACATGCACAGGTTCAGTGCGTACACAGGTGGTTGCCAGCACAAAATGATCCAGGGTCTTTTGTGTAGTCCTTTTCACTGCATTT